TTGTTCTGATATTAGTTTAACTCTGCGCCTCGAGTTCCCTTCGATTCACTGATGCACTTATACATGGAACCAAAAAACACATCGTTTAACTATTTTTGGAAGATAAAGATATTATTTTGAGTAAAACATTTAATTGTTTTATGATTCGACAAATATGATAACAAATAACAATAATAGATGCTACTGGATTAGAGTATCTGACGCGGCAAGTCACTTCAAATTTTGCCGGTTTTTCGCGGGATTTCCGCTGCAGCAGATCTGTCACAGTTTCTTTGGAAAGAAAACCCGTTTGTCCCCTTTTTTGGCCCTACGTTGGTTCATTGAAAAGTGGAAATGATTATGACTATCGGACTCCCTGAAAAGCAAAAAATAACAAAGCCTTAGCCTTATTTGCATAGTTGAACGTGAGGCTTTAAACTGGAGAAATGGAATAGGAAGGGAAAGGAAAAAAGAAATGGGAATTTGGGCAAAAGAGCAAAAAGAAAGCGAAAGGATTAAAAAATGGGACGAGACTTATCGGTCTTTTAAAACATTATGTTTTAGCTTAGCAAAGCAGCTGAACTTCGTCGGCACGATGATTGTGATGCAATTTTAGATGAAAAAAGAAAAAAAAGAGTGGGTTTTGGGCAAAGTGTAACAAAAAGATTGGTGATGTTGAAGAGGGCAGTGCGGAAAGTGCAATGAAACAGAAGTAAAATTGACAGCTGAAGTAAATGTGTTGTAGAGATTTGATTAATGTAAATAATATGAATTTGCAACTCCTGTTGAGAAACCGAGAGCTACCACAAATTTTAACGAACTTTCGCAAAATTCCTCCCAGAAGTGAGGCATTGAGGCATTCTGGTGGTGAGATGCGTCGATAAATCTCCCCAATGGTAACGTGGTATTTTGTAGTCGAACTGAGCAGAGATGTACGCCCAGGTACCGCGCAAAACGTTTCGGCTGCGAGCATCGGCATACTGTAGATTGGCGCCAACGTGTGCCCGAAATTTCCACACATCGTACGATTTATCCCAAAATTGCAAACTGCTGCTGCAATGATCCAGTAATTAGCACTGGAATAAACAGGCGTATTTGAATCAGGTTATTTAAGCGAGTGCTTCCTATCTGTTACTGTACGCCGCGCAAGATATCATTGTATCCATGAAAGAAAGTAAAATTTAATAAGCAGAGTATGTTGCGCATTGGTGCATGTTACCAAGAAGAGAACTACCGGTTAAGTGCTGTTGAAGAGCTAATGCTTACATCAAACAGATGTTGAGTATTAAATGAAGATGTGCATCCCAAGATCGAAGACCTGGCGTGGCTGCACTCGGTGTTTGGCAGTTTCCCAGCGGTATAATTAATGTTTGGAAAACACATTCCGGTTTTGATATTCTTGGATTTTTCGAAAAAGTATTGCAAAGGCTGTTGCGATTATGAATAGTAGCGCTGTTGCTAATATATTGCTGATGAGAATTAATGAATCGGAATATCAGATATTCCTACACAAACTGTTCGAAGTAATAAGGTGCAGAAAATACGTGACTGGTATGAAAGGCTTCACATTTGGTTACATCCTAATTAATTTTACAAGAAACAAAAGGTTCACTAACGTCTGGAACTGTTCGACGGGTGTCGATTAGTAGATGTTTCTACTGAGCTGGATTCCTAAAAATTGCACTTTTAACTACCTTTTAAAAAATGAGCATGCTTCTAAACAATCATTGAAAGAAAAAGCCATTAGCACAATTGCTAGCGGGTAGTTGCTTTGGCAGTCGCTACCCTCGGAATATTTCCAAGTGTCTTCGCTTCTCATAAACAGCGATCACGAAGGAGGTTTCAGCTTTTTTTTAACAAAAGTGTAATTATAATTCATGGAGGTAGAATGATTGGTGGTGCTTCAGCAGTTTTCTTGAATCCATTCTCCTGTTTAATCTTAGATATGGAGGCGGTTTTATAAACTTTATATGCATCAAATTTCAAAAAAAATGTTTGGCACATTTACGAATGTGTGAAAAAATGTGATACCGTACCACACTCCGATTCATGGTTACGGTAGCCGCCGAGCTGCTCGACGGTGTAGTGATGATGCGCCCATAGGTTGCATCACATCCACTTGTTGGCATGGTACCGTAGCTGACCACATAGTGTGAACTGACTGGCATGTGCCCCGTGTACACAACCTGCAAAATC